TGCCTCTTTGAGATGGATTTGTTTGTTTTCTTTCCAGAGAACAAGATCCCACCTGAAATGTTGGAACGAAAAATAAGCTATTCATTCAAATGTAGTCAAATATCAGAATATTTGGGATCTTAAGAAATAGGCTTTGTTGCCTTCAATTAGAGGAGAAGATCAATACCACTCTTACATCTGTTTGGAATATATAAAGCTACAGACAGCAGACAGTTAGCTTAGCTTAGCATAAAGACGGGAAACTGGGAAACAGCCCTACAAAGATTTATTTTAAAGTGCTTTATCTCATTTGTTTAATCCGTAGAAAAGTCTAAGTGTAAAAAGGGCCAATGGTGGTAATGTGCCATGCTGGTTATTTAGTTAGCTCGAGTTATCTTCCAGTCTTTATGCTAAGCTAAGCTAACTGACTATCGAATAAATATGAGTGCTTACAAACTTTTAATTATAAATCCCGGCAAAAAAGTGCGTTCACCACTACTTTAAGGTTTTTACACACAATATAAATGCAAGGATTGTGATCAACTATTTTCCTCCAACTTCCAACTACTCTGTAAAGACTTCAAAATCACCTATGCTCAAATGCTAGGAAAGGCCTGATTCGAAATGTAGTCAGGAAGTATCAGGCGTGCGCGGTTGACCGAGTGCTCCACATGCCCTTCGTCCTGCCCGGAGGCCCTCGTCGGACCTGCCTCCCAGCCCTCATCTCTCACCTCGGCCGTGATTGGCATGGCCACAGGTTTCCTGCTCAAACACGAGAGCCTATCTTCAAAGTAATAGCTTACAGCTGCTGCCGGGATAATCCTCATCCCCTCTGTCTTTGAAGGGATGCGGTGACATAATAGCCCAAGCTATTCTTCCCTTAATTGTTATAGTGTTTCTCCGAGTGTTGTTCAATAGCAAAAGGGGAGTAGGTGAGACTGTTGCATGTGTTGCTAAATGTAGCATGATTATCGAGAGACATAAGCAGCTCCATACTCTCCCCACTCCTCCCCCCCCCCCTTCTTCTTCTTCTCTCCTTATTCTTCTGAGTTTCTTTTATCCCGCCCAGTCCTCCTGATGCTTATCACTGCGGCAGAAGCATTAAATGTAATGTCTGTAGAAGGCAAATCATTGGCAACATGTGGTGAGAGCTTAAGATGTTGTCACACTTTAAGTTGCCCATAATCTGTTCAAAGGGAGAGTGCATAGTTCTCAAAAGTGCCTGAAAAAGAGAGGAAAGAAGAAGAGCAGAGAGGTAGAAGTCTCTCAGCTGCACTTGGCCTGGGTGAAGTGTTCATCAGACAAAATAACCGTCGGTCTCTGTTGGCTTTTGTCTTCATGCGTTTTTATTCCTTTTTGTCTGTGTTTTTTTTATGCATTTGCTAAAAACACAGCTTGTAGCTTTACGAGCCTCAACAGTGTGATAATCTGTCACTGAGAGGAAGAGAGAACCATAGATAACGCGAGAAAGAACAGCAAGGGATTACAGGTATGTGGACACAGGATTAAAAAGACGGACGTAATGATTCCTCTGGGAGGGAGGTATGTGCTGAGATTGGCTTTTTTTCTACGTTTATGAGTCCAGTTGTGGGGAGGCCCAGGGTAAATATTGACACTTCTCTCCGCTTGTGATGCGGCCATTGATCCACACAGGAAGAGTCTCATCACTTGATCTGTGCGCTCAGGTGTGGGAGGAGGAAAAAGCGAGAGCTGGGGGACGTGGGTTGTCCCGCTGGTGGTCTTCTTTGTGGTGTCTTTGAGCCTGCCTCTGCGACACCGGGAGTCATGTTACCCAAACAGCTGAATGTCCAGAAAGTGGATTTTAGGTGAATACAGGTCTTAGTGTGATGGGTCACTGGGATCAAGTAGAGTCAGAACGTGGTAAAGGCTCACCTAAATCACTTTAAGTCTTATTCCACTCACACCTACAGCACTTTGATATCTGTAATATCCCAGTGGCGCTTTACAGAGAGCTGTGAAGTCTCCTTTTCCACTAACGTTATGTTTTTCTATATATAAAATAATCATTTACATCTTACGCACAGGCCCAGTGCTCAAACCACTAATCAGGTAATGTTCGGGAGGCTGAATGGCTTGCCTCCCCCTGGTCAACCTTCACTGCTCACACAGTGGTGTTGTTTTAAAGAGCATTCTTTAGCAGCCGAACTTGGAAAGGTATTAAAGTGGGATTAGGCTCCTCCACAATCCACTGCTTGTGTCATTCAGGGAGTTTGTGTTCTCCTCTCCCCACTGCCACCTCCCCACTCCTCCTCTGTTTGATTGTGGCTAGCCGCAGGAGTGGGACTGACTGTGCCTTTCAAAGGAGAGGGGTAGGGTTAAATCCCTAGTCCACTGCTCCCTGCTAATTCTCCTTGTTCCTTAGAGAAGGATTTACTTCTGCTGCCAGCTTCTCAAAGGCCTTCTCTGCCCATCCGAAAAGTCGCCGTTGCCTTCCTGTGGAGGTGTGGTTGCCATAGAAGGGGCGTCATGCATGGCTATTCCATCTGAATCCCGCGGAGAATGGGGACCGGGGACTGAAAACAGGCAGAAAGTCCGGATTAGACCCGAGGACAAAGCAGGACAGGAAGATTCCAGAAGGGACGAATAGGAATTACAGCACCAAAAATAATGCAAAGTGACAGAGAGGGGAAATAGAAAAATAATGGCTTACAAGATTAGACGCGGCGAGGAGAAAGAAGAAAGGAAAAAGGGCTGAATGAGAATGTTTTCATCTAGATGAGAAGATTTGAGAGAGCGGTCGTAGGTGAATGCGGAGCCCTGGACGTATCAAACCCGCGCTAACAAGTCATTTCCTCAACTTTTGCTCTCTTTCTTAGTCCTAAGCCGGCAATCATGAGCTAAACATAAGAGTTAGAGCTGGGAACTCGTCTTGACAGATTCATCACCTCTTTCCCCTGATCCCAGCATGTAGCACACTAATCCCTCTAAAAACTAGGAAACAAGTCCCTGAATATTATCTTTACATGAGTGTGTCCATGTATGATTTCCTTTTTTAAATTTTGGGTCAGATACATTTTATGAGTAAGTGTTGTTCTTGACTTTAGTTTTTTGGCATCCAAACTTGGAAGTTTGTTTAGAAGACAGATCCAGGTTGGCAGGTCACTTAAACTAGAACGCTGCTTGTTTGAGAAACATGCCAAATGTTCTGTTTTCAAGGGATTATCCTTGAGGTTTTTCCATAGTTAGTAATAATAATCGTCTTAACTTATTGTAATAAATGAAAGATTAAAGGATTGTGTGAACCCTGAAGGGTGCTAGCTTTTGATATCTCTGTTATTATGCCGCTTTGTGATGGTTAAAAAAGAAAATTGGAGGCTATAACTGCCGTTTATTCTGCAGCAGATATAGGTGGTGATCATAAAATATGAAACTAGTTAATAACCTATCAATTGATGTGACGTAATTCAGATAACATGACATTATTTGCTGATCGGATGATTCATCATTTTAGAAAGCATAGACAACAACAAAAGCCACACTGTCTTGTTTCCAGCATGCATACAGCTGCTCATACACACATGTGTGAACACACACGCACACACCGTATCAGTACTCAATCAGCACCTATAACAACATTACCATAACAAAACCAACCTTTGGTTTCCCTCCGCTCATATTTACACATTATATTCATCACTATCGCTCATCCCTGCCCCGAACCAGCACATGATGTCAATTGCTCCTCTCGCTGCCTCACTCCCTTGCACAATGAAATAGATGTTCACCACAAATAGATAGGCGGTTGCCAGCTGTCTTCCAGACCAGGGCAAACAAAGAGGCCGCTAATAAATCCAGCTTTACGGCTGGACAAGATCAACCACACTCCCTGCCTTCTTGCTCCACTTAATGTGGCTTGTTCTGAACAACACGGAACAAATTAAATGCCTCTCAGTCGCCAATAAAACAATGCAAACATCTTCCTGAAAGGATATAAAAGAAGATGGAGGTGTTGTCTAGGAAATGGTGATAAAGGCAGTCTTGCGCCATGGGGGCACGATTTTAGACAGTAAGATGAAATATGAACAGAGCCCAGGGCAGCCCAGTAGTCAGCAATGAATCACAGTCTCCGATATGATATCTGATGCATTTAGAGTGTTGTGGATATGAAAGAAACGTGTACATTGTCAGCAAAGGCTTGATTGGGATCATCAGGTTTCAGTGATTACTGCACTGAGACACGATCCAGACTCTTTTTTTATACTAGTGAGGGGGTTTGGGTGCCTATGACTGGGCTCTTTTGGAATGACGTGGTGTCAGGCCCACCCTAGAACATTTTAACAGATGAGCTGCTGCCAGAAGGAGTCACCTCCCTGGCTGCCCACAGGCTGGGCGAGCCAATTTGACTCTTTGTCAAAAACCCTCGATGGGTAACTCAAAATAAAGCCACAGGAATGATGCATCATATGGCTTTTCGTTTCTGTTCTGTGTCGTGATACAGATAGTTAATTACTGGGATATTTTAAAAAGCATATATTTATATAATGTTAAGATGCACTTAACATTAGAAAATATCATCTATATTTAAGCTTGTTTATTGTCTGTGTCCTTTCATTTCAGCTCTGTCTCCCTCCCCCGATGCCCCTTATAATTATATTTCTACATTTTTTTATAGATATTGAAAAAGTCTAGTCATTGTGAATTATTTTGGCCATAATAAATATTTAGTGAAAATCTGAAATTGTGAAATAACCAATCAAAGCTACAGTTACTTTATCAGTAACTTTAGGTGAACAGTAGCCAATGTGGCCACATTTAGCAATTGTAGGGTACTGATAAATGCTAGACTGTGATAGAAGCACATGAAGAGTAGAGTTTCAGTAGCTGCATGATATTATCTATCTAGAAACCAATTAGCTAGTGGTCAAAACACACCAATGAAAGCTTGAGCAACAAAACCCTTAGTGTACTGAACTGAACAACAATGCATTTTATTTCTTTAACCTAACTTTACAATTACAAAAGGATGAAAGCTCTAATCATCTTTTTCTCTTGTTCAATAGGTTGTTTGCGACCAAGTGCAGCGGCTGCCTGGAGAAAATCGCCCCTACAGAGTTTGTGATGCGCGCCCTGGAGTGCGTGTACCACCTGAACTGCTTCTGTTGCTGCGTGTGCGACCGGCAGCTGAGGAAGGGCGATGAGTTTGTCCTGAAGGAAGGCCAGCTGCTGTGCAAGATCGACTACGAGAGGGAGAAGGACTTACTCAGCTCGGTTAGCCCCGATGACTCAGACTCAGGTGAGCGCTCTGCACCCTCTCACACAAGAGTGAGAACAACACCGGGGTGCCACCATCATATGGCACCCGCGTGTTGTATTCTGTATGCTCTGCTCCATCTCAGTGGGGGCCAACATAGACATGCACCATCATGTATCTAAACTGTGACTGATTTTAGTTAGTAATACTTAAAGAGGTGAGATATTTGTATTTCCCTAAGCTAGTTGTTCAATTGCTTAATATTTAAGATTATTCATAGATCTCACATTTATTTTTTCAGTTTATTTTTTTAAAATTAAAATGGTATCCATCCCTTTTTGATATGACTAATATTTAAAGGTGGGGTAGGTCATTTTGGGTTTCAGTGCGTTAGTATTTGGAAATATACAGCTGGAAAAAATCTGCCACTTCCTTACAGAGCCCCTCCTCCAACACACACGAACGCGCACATGACCGATGAGGGCACGAGATAAGTTTGTGCACAGATGGAAGGCTGACAGGCTAAAATGATTGGTTGTGCTTTTTACAGTACTACGGCTTCCACAGATTACATTTTTTTATGGATTTTTTGTCAAAGCACTTAAGATATTCATTGCTATCGGGATGTTAAGAGCATTCCATGGAATATAACAAAAAGTGTATCTCGAACCGGTTTCTCAAACTTACCTACCCCACCTTTAAAGAGCGACTTGCAGGTTAGAGACACCAGTGAATAAATGTGTAGGAAAATGATGAATACACTAGATTTTCCAAAAAATATACAGAAATATACACTACAGTGACATCTGGCGTCGTTTTAGTAAGACATTTTCACTTCCGCATAAAAAAGCCTCCGCACGTGACCCTCCCGCGTGTGACGTAACACGGGGGAGAGCGGCCGGTCTAACGTATGAATAAACATGGATCACAATGCTAGTTTTGACACAGAAGAGGTTGAAAATATATATTCGAATGCATATGATTATAATTATGAGCCTGCTAGGCGTCCAAGAGACCAGGAGCAGCCAAGGACTGAAAAAATAACGGCCATCGGAGAGAAATGGAGCTTTGGTGTCTGGAGAACCAGTGGAGAACAGAGCAGCTGTCTTGGTGAGTGAACGGCGTTAGCTACATTAATTTTAGCTAACGTCAGTCACATCACAACATTGTAAAGTTAGCAATCATATATCAGGCTATAACTAAAGTAGTATTGATAACAAAGTAACGTTACTGGCAGGACTGTTGATACTGATCCATAACAGAAACTAATGCNACTGCATTCGAATTTACACCACCGATCCAATGACGTAGGTCGGCAGGACAACCACACAGCAAAGCGGAAGGGAGCACAGAGCACACTACGTCTTACGGTGCCGTGTACCGGAGGGGAGAGAGAGCAGCGAAGGGGGGAGAGAGAGAGCAGCGAAGGGGGGGGGAGAGATGTAATACGGTTTCTTGATAAAGCTGTGGAGAGTATGTGCTGCAGGGAGGTGGATGCACAACGCACCCAGGAATGAACGCTAGCTTCGGTCCTTTTCCCGTGAGGGAAACTGTGGACTCGATGTCCTGACAGGCTTGAGCTTGTGCAACCTGCAAACACAAGCTCACCATGATTACAAATGGTGAAATGCAATGTAAAAGTACAGAAAAAATACCAGCTCACTGAATCACAACCGCTCAAACCAACTACAAACTACTACCGCGGATTGGGCAGAGAACAAGTCCGAGAAAGTTAACTCCCCCATGTGACGTAATATGACGCATTTGACGTATGACGTTAAAAAAAAGCAGTTTTTAGTAGCAGAGCTCAAAACGGCTCCGTTCCCTCTGAATTCCTTATGTCTCGTAAAACATATCAAATCCTGCATTAACATTTTTAATTGTAATTTTCAGGCAAGGTTAATCATAAATGTAGTAAAAAAAAAAACCTGCAAGTTGCTCTTTAAATGAGTTTTACATTATTTTTGATAATGATTTGGACTTTTTTTTTTAATCTTTCCATTTTTTATTTATCTTGTATTTAAAAATAAATTAAAAACAGATTTTAGATTTAATGAAGGCATGTTTCTTAGTTTTATATTATTTAAACTGCATATTAAAATAACTTTGTTCGTTAATAGTTATTTTGAGCAAAGTCCATGTGTTGACAAAAGAGGTCAATAAATAATAAGTTAAAAAGAGATCTCCCGTGCAGACCAGGCAGTCAAAACTTCTAAAACATGGCTCCATCTGCAGCTTTTCAATGGCAGATTTTGTAGGGGGAGCGTGGGTTTATGATACAGTAGGAAGTGGAAACAGGACAGAGCCGATCCACCCTGTATTAATGGCTCTCCATGCGTGGGCAGGATCTGGTGCTGGAAAGAATTAAATCACTGTATCGCGGTGAGTGACAGAGGGATTTGGGGCCTTTCTGCAGAAAGCCTGCGCCTCGGCTCTTATCAGCTCTAGTGTTCCTCGCCTATAGCCTCCACACACAATGAGGCATCTCGCCAAGCCTCACTGTTCACTACCATCTGGCTCACATTTAAACATGCACAAAAGCGGGGGGAATTTGTCAAATACATCTGTGCCTGTGTCAACTTTTGTCAACTTGTGGGAATATTTGCTCTGCGTCTTCTTCGTTATGTTGTGTCCCGGTGCATCGCAGGCATCTCTTTTGAGCATGTCTCCAGATTTCAAAATGTTGACATGAACAGTGGTTAACCCCGGCATGCCGCAGACGAAATGTAGGTTTTGGACGAGAAATGCAGATACTTATCAGAACCAGATAACCGGAGACACTGAGCCATCATGTGTGCCTCTCCTTACAGCCCCCAGACCCCAAAGGATCATTAGGATTCATCAACAACACTGCTGGGTTAGATTTTGAGACCCTTTTTTATGGATATTTGAATATTTTTGATGTGATGTTTACAGAACTTTGTGGCTTTTGTGGCAACTGACACAGTGATGCATTTGCCCACTACTAATGCGGAACTAAGTGATGTATTTCAAACTATATGTCACGTCACAAACAATTTAATTGGAATCAAAGATATTTAAGAATACTCCCATTTCTCAAGCTGCAGTGAGTAACAAGTAACATATTGTTTTCGTACTCTTTCGTACTCCTAATCAAAAGACAGAATCAGTGTATTCACTTAAGAATAACTCTTAAATTAATGAGTTGTTCTGGGAGAGCATTATATTTATTAGATGTAATAGCTTCAGTGAGGCAAGCTGACTTTAATGTATACAAATAAACTAACAGTAATTCTTTTAATAACAGAAATCCAACAACAACAAGTTATTACTATGTTTTAATGGCACGTTGTAGGATAGCGGCATAAAAATGACAAAGATTTAAGATTACTATTCTTTACTACCCAAAACTGTAATATCCTGCTGCTGACAGTACAAATCTAGCCATTGAAAGTTGTCATTATTTTAACGTCTGAAATATAATTTTTAAAAATGGGTTTTCTTGCTGTTTCATGGGAGATACATTTCCCACATGTACTAGCATTGCCTTTTCCATGTTGCACTTGATGTAGTATTCTTATCAGAGATTGATTTAGTGTAAATCAGACAAAGCTGAGGGCAATAAATTACACATGGCGCACAGTCCGGCTCAGTGACATATGTACATATTTCATTTGGCTCTCCAAGACTTCTGTAAGGTTAATCGTACATACAGCCTTTTCCGTTTTGTAATAAATTGATAACAAGTATCAAAAACACATGTGTCTCCTTTGATTATGCACTTCTGGTGTGTGAATCTCCCGAAATAGCATAAAGCGAGAATATATTTATTAGCAGACTGTCACTGACTGAAAGGGTGTAGTCGGTTCCAGCTCGTACTCATGACATGGAAAAATGACTCTCTCTGCAGAGAAAAGTGACGATGAGGAGTTGGACATCAAGCAGGAGAAAGGCATAGGAAGCCAGAGCAAGTCGGATGATGGGAAGGATCCCAGGAGGCCCAAAAGACCACGAACCATCCTGACCACTCAACAGAGACGGGCCTTCAAGGCTTCCTTCGAGGTGTCCTCAAAACCCTGCAGAAAGGTAAGAAAAAGCTCAAATAATCCCTTCAAGAAGATATAAAAAAAGGTCTGCATGGTCTGAATTTATGGTAATGGAGGTTTACTGTAGAGGCCGACCACGAGCCCTACAGTAGTTTCACAAATAAAATTCTCAAATTAAAAAAATCTCCCCCACCTCAGAGCTGCGCTTTGAAGTGGCGAGCAGCATTCTGTTCTGTGTTAGCCGAGGCAGGCTGGTGTAACGCAGACCGCCTGCACCAAATGTCATACTGAGATAGGAGAGCTGCCTCCAAAGCCCGGGCCCTGAAACAGGCACTGCACCCGGTCCAAGGCTTTGAAGAGGCAATAACCAAGAGGTCCATAAGACCACTGCATTCATTCAACCTTCAATGAAATCAAAGCAAATCAAAGAGGCTGATCGGGGAAATGTGGAATAGATGTTAAGGAGGCAAAGTATTTCAGTGTGTTGTGGAGGGGTTTGTTTTCTCGTGTGATGCTGGAAATCTTTTCTCTTGATGCTTTCAGGTGAGGGAGACGCTGGCTGCAGAGACAGGACTCAGCGTTCGGGTGGTGCAGGTGTGGTTTCAGAACCAGAGAGCTAAGGTGAGAGCTGCTAACACGGGAGGAATTAGATACAACAGCCTTGTTCCATCTCAGAGCCCAGCTAATAAATCACCACAACTATGTGTGTTAAACTTATCACTGCATTCCTTTTCAAATGTAAAAAGAGTTGCAAATCTCGCTCACTCGCATTAAATGTCTACGCCCTCCTCTTTTCAGATTATTATCTTGTGAAAACCTTTGATACTTGACAATGAAGTGCACTCAGATACAGATTTGGTACGGTTCATTTGAGGGTGAACAGAGAGGAGCATCCTTTTTAAATTAAAGAGCGCATGTTAGTTTTGGGGGTTCCTTACAATTCTAACTCCTCCGTTTCAGATGAAGAAGTTGGCCAGAAGACAGCAGCAACAACAAGAACAACAGAATTCGCAGAGACTTGGCCAAGGTACAACACTGTACTTACCCTGCACACACAACGGAGGCTCATTGTCTCAAATCTCCTTCTCTGAGAAACTTTTTTATCTTTTCACAAAGTCCCCCTTTTCTCAGTTTGTTTGATCATTGTAAAGAAGAAAGTGTATCTGTGCTCATTTTAAATCTGAGTTTGAGCACATTTTGGGATGTCACAAGTGGAAGCCAATGGTTGTCAAGTATGCAATGTGATGTGGAGACATTCATGGATTATGGCATTAATTATTTCTGCCCAGAAAGCTAATAGTTCTAGGTACACTTTTTCTTGTATCAATGCAATATATCATTTTAAATATTGACAGTTACAGTGCTTTTTCTGGTGACTGCTAAACAGCATTAACATGGAAAACACTGATAGCAACAATAAGAGCTTCTTCTATTCCTTGTGTTCTGTTGGGGTGTCGTCAAATGTGTTGTGGGAAAAGAGCGCTCCGAAATTGAATGATTACACTGAATGACACATTATAAATATGTCACTGTGTGTAAACAAGAACACTTTATATCAAAAACAAGTCATAAATTCTGTCCAGAAGCCAAAATAAATAAATGGCGGACGTCATTTTGCAAAGCCACTGCAAAGGAAAGCGCAGGGCGGGGGATGGGCTCCAGTGATGAAGCCACAAGAGTTTTGTGTCCTTCTCACAAGTCGGTTAGCCAAGAGCTGTGTTTGTTAAAGGAATTATGGGAGAAGCCACAGGAAGGACTACTGTAGGTTTCCATGGAAATACTAACAGGCAAGCAAGCCAGGTATTTGGAGGGTGTTATGGCTATCTCAGACCAGAAAAGAGCAAAACAGAAACTCAGATTTATGTGAATTTGAAGATATTTAATTCCCAGGCATGAAGAAAAACATGTCCAGGCTGAAAATGCTGTCCTCAAGTTTTCCCCCTGGTTTTTTTGCCCATGTGCGTAGCTGCATTTTATATTTGCAGACTCATCCAAGGTTCTTTTTCTAATATTTTCCCCATCTTTACCTTGCAGAGGTAATGTCCAATCGGATGGAGGGGATGATGAACTCCTTCACACCGCTGGCTCCGCAGCAGCAGCTGGTCGCCATGGATCAGAACGGTTACAGCACAGACCCGTTCCAACAGGGGCTCACCCCCCCCCAGATGCCCGGGGACCACATGAACCCATATGGTGAGCATCCAACCAACTCTAACCCCCCTCTACCAACAAAAAAAGAAAGAAACACCCACTCCTGCTCTAAAAATCACGCACATGCCTGTCCCTTGATCAACCTCATAGCTCCCCAGTGTGGGACATGTGTTCAGGCCGCAGCTCCCCTGATTTAAGCCGCTCACAGAGCCGTACGAGCAGCTTCTCCTCCCACATGAGATAACACAAGCATACTCATAAGCTAGTGGGTTTTGAAGTTCATTTTCCAATATGTTTAATATGGTTTTAACTCCCTGCCTCCACTTCTGAGACATGCCCTGTTACTGCTGATGTTTTCCAATGGTGGTAAAAACATGTGGTCAGTGTGGACAGCTTGAGATAAAGTGCAATCCAGATGATGATTAAGGGTTGTGTGAGCTAATGGGACAACAACAAGTCTCTGATTTCCGTGTAATAATTAAAATGCAAAAGAGGCGAGGGAGAATCAGTCAATCGAAGTGTTAGTCCACAGGATGTAACTGGAATAACACATTTCTGAGCGATGTCCTCAACAAGCCCCAGAGGGACCATTTCCTGAAGTTCATAACTTCCTTATAATTTGCCTCCATTTAGTTCATCTCGGTAGTAAGAGCCCAAATCCCCAGTCTCATCACTGCTTTGGTTTGGGGAAAAGAACAATATTGGCAAGGCATTAAAAGATATGTCTCAAAACACTGTCCCCATTTTGTGCACACTATCATTAAGATCCAGAGTGTAATAAAGTTAACTATTCCCTCCAGAGAAATAACATGTTGAGGTTTTATGAAAGGCAGAAGCAGTTGCTATTAACCAGATCTTTTAGGAGGATGCCCCTTGTTTACATGCGCCCTCATAGACCGCAATTGTCCCATCGAGGGCAGCAAAAAGTGAGCTTTGATATCGAACAAAACCGCACTCCAAATTGTGATGACACACAACAGCCATTTCTCAAAGTGACTATTAGTAATTATAATTTCCCAACGCTGCTATAAATCTGAAATACGAGGTTGCATTGATTTTCCAGTGAGAGCGGGGTGTTGTTGTGTTTCTTTGAATGACGCCTCTGCCACCAGCCTGACAGCTATCTGTGTGTGTCCGCAGGTAACGATTCTGCATTCCATGACATAGACAGCGACACGTCTTTAACCAGCCTCAGTGACTGCTTCATGGCCTCGTCGGACGTCAACTCCATGCAGGCCCGCGCGGGGAACCCCATCGACCGCCTCTACTCCATGCAGAACTCTTACTTTGCGTCATGAAATAGAAGAGTGAAACCCATCAGCACAGAATAAACTGCCCATCTCAACCCTGAAGCGTGATGGCCAGGAGTTTCTACACCAACACGGACACGACAGAAAAAACCCTGCAGTAGCTCCTGGTTATGTGCTGAAGCTTACTCAAAGATAGTAAAACCACTTGTTGTAGGACGGTGACGATTCCTGGGGGGAAAAGACTAAAAATATTGTTAGATTATTCGGTAGGAGTGCTTATCTTTCACAGGAGGTCTTTTCTTTGTTCACTTAAAGAAAACAAGTAGATATTGAAGCCACTGATTACACACTCTCAATACCAAATCACACAGTGAATTTATACAGTGCATGATCAGTTGTAAACTAAATCTTTTTGTAAGCCCCCGGTAAAGATGTGGTATTTGGACTGTTTCTTCTTTACACTACATGGATTCCCATGTTCACTGTTAGCATTTTGATCACTTTCCATAGGCTTAGATATTGTGTTAATAGTAAATAGGTGCAGCATGTCTGCAAGAGTGACTGTACATTTGTGTATGTATGAGAGTTTGTGGAGAGGCAGAATTGTTTAGGAGAAAAAAGGTGGAGAATTGGTTGGACATGTAGGATCAGTGAAGTGTAAATACTTTCCCCAGGCAAATTGGATGTGCATGTTACAAAATGGAAAGCATTCTATTTATTTAACTATAACAGGCTCTTGAAGGTGCATATTAAAACTGAAAAGCTTTATTTAAAAAGGAGAGCATTTTTTTGTTGAGCAATTAGTGAGATCATGAGTGTTACAACTCATCTGTATGCCTTTTTAATATGAAGATTAACCCTTTTGTTTTGTTTTTTCTTCAGCCAAGCTGTAAATGAGCAATGTTGCTATTTATTTCGTACAGACCATAAACCTTTTGTTGTCACTGTCATATGTGCATTCTCAAAATGTTAAAGTTGCTAATTGACCAAAGTTGACTGGTTTGATGAATAAACAATGTCTTTCTCCTGATAACATTAAATATGGCATTGAGTGGTTCATTCATCATTCATATGGGAACATTTGGAACTCATAAATATCACCTGCTTACATGTATTCTCAAATCAATGCTTATGGATTTGTTTGCCATTCTTACAACATGGCTTTAGGGATTACAATGTCAGTCTGTGGGTCAGTATACTATTGGATGGATTACTATGAAATGAAGGAACAGACATTCATGGTGCCAAGAGAATGGGCAACAGCACAACACTAAACGCTGTGCCATGTGTTTAGCGCTATTGTACCTCAATTGATTCATACTAATATATACAAATACTAATATTTATGTTTCTCAAAAGAGTTTTAAATATGAAACTGATCTAAATAGCTATGAGAGGTATCATGACCAATAAACATTATATTCGGAGCAATAAACCTTTTTTTTTATCATTTTCAAAGTCAAAAGTACAAGACTAAGTACATAATTATTTTAAGAGTCAACTTATCTACCTCGTAAACCATTTAAATGGCACTCACCACCTCTGGGAAGTCCAAGAAAAAGGTTTAAACTAACATAGTCAATCGGAAATGAAGACAGATTCAGCAATTGCATGGCTAAATGTTTTACAACCATATTTGTGAAATATAAGACAAAGTTTCCAACTGGCTGCCGTGTTTGTTTGGTTTACATTTCCCGGGGCAGATTATGCAAAACACATACCTTTAGTAACCTTTAACAGTGCAGCAAACAATTCCATATCAAGCACCGCCAACTACAGACTATGCTGTTACACTTAAAGGTAGGTTAGGTATGTAAGAATGGAGAAACCAGCTCGAGTGCGCTAGAATTTGAAACTACGCAGCCGAAAAAAAATCTGCCCCTTCCTTCAGACTTCCTTACAGAGCCCCTCCTCCAACACACACGAACGCGCACACGAGATAATGTTGTGCACGAGATGGAAGGCTCACAGGCAGGTAGGCCATCCAATTATTTTTATTTTGAAATGGAACGAAACCACGGCAGACACCACTACATTTATTTTAGTTACTTTGCAGATTCTGATTAATGATGTGAAATATAAACAACCCTTAAATCAGACTTTAGTTACACCTGAGTAAAATTCAGGGAAGGTGATTGTCAAGTGCCAACAATCAGGCGAGATATTTGATAGTTGGTGCTTGAGAAGACTAAACATGTATCTGCAGATCCCTACAAAGTATATTCATTACTCGTTATTCTCTACTAATAGTTCATTAAAGACTGTATATAATGGCTATTTTGCAGATCCCTTTCAAGATTTTAAGTACTTTGTCAGGCTTAATATTTATCTGTAGATAGATACCCCCAAAGCTTTTTTCTTATTTGAAAGAAGACCTTAACCTAAAGTATCTAATTGGTTCCTCAACAGTTCATTACAAGACATGTATCAATTATGTGTGTGTATACCCTCCACCAATAAAACTGTCATATTCATGCAAAGTTCTTTATTACTCTTTCGTACATCATAAAGAGTATAATTAATATGTATAATATCAGTTAAAATAAGTGCTTCAACATAAGTTAACATTGCTGGAAAGTTAATATATTGACGTTAAGCATTTGTCAGGCTTAATATTTATCTGTAGATACCCCAAAGCTTTTTCTTATTTAAAAGAAGACCTTAAAAAAAGTATTATTTAATGTTTGAATAAAGGTTAAATTCGTTTTTCTGTTTGCACAACTTCCTATTAATATATTTGTACATCCTGCACAAACTGTTTTATTGTAGAGATCACTTTAGTATCTTTTTTTTATATTCTATATTTCTAATCACAGACTTTCTTATCCCTCCTCTTATGATAAGTACGTTGCTTTTATATTTTTCATCATTAATATAACACATTAAAACGAATAATTCAATAACATGCTTTAACCACTAAGGCGGTGCAGCACAAGGTACATACAGCCATAATTAACTTTTATTATTGTGTAGGACATTATGCATGTATCGTAACATCTGAAGATTGTGTTAGTTTTAATCATGTTTCACAGTAATCTTGACAACATATTCGGCTTATATTTATTTCAGCTCAGTATTTAGAATTCTTATATCAAAGGAATGAGAAAAGTCAAGCAATATATTTTAAAAAACTAGTCCTTTTTAGCTGTGCTGATGGTGTAAATATAACATCTACAAATTGGATCAAATATAAAATGGTCAGCCAAATTAGATGTTGATACTGCAAGGAGACGTACTTGTGTGAAGGAGAAATGAATGATCATTGTTTATTGCTCGATATATTTATGGATTCACATCACATATTCATGTTTCAGTGGCATTTCTTCCAGTTTGTCTGGAAGTCTTCTAATCAGGGCTCTGATATATAGGAGAACTTACGTCATGAATGTTCATTATTAATGCAGCCAAACCATATACCAATGCCGTTAGTGATGACTTCGCAAAGGAAATTACGAAAAGCAAGCCACACTCGGAATAAAGTATTATTTGCTTTTTTTAAAACGTTTTCGGATTTCATATTGCATAAACACCATATCCCAACGTGCATTGCGGCATAAACAATCCAATCACCGAGCTTAAACCATAAGCTAGCTGGAGGATCTTGGTAATCAGTTCAGTGGTTGTGTTATCTCGTTTCGGGTTATTTTATTTTCTGAAATTCAGTTGCTGACGGACGCATTCGCCATAGAATTCTATTCTATTCGTATATGGCTCTGGAAAGAAGGACAAAAGAAGCCAGAGGATTATGGAATCAAACAAGATAATAAAAACATGTGAGGGATAATTGGTATTGTTGATTAAAGAACAGTGCGTGTATTAGACAGAAAATAACATATTAGAAGAAAAGAGAAGATTTTTGAGAGAGAAAGTGTACAGATTTCAGTATTTTGAGGCTGCTGGGTAAGGATAGGCATGTG